CTCGATTTCAAAAAATAAAACTCATTTCTGTTATACATGTTTAATTCCATATTCAACCATCAAGTTTACATTATTAATATACAGTTTAAATGCAAACCGTCATTAAGAACAGGAAAAGCATAATAAAAAACAATAACTTATTTTTCGTGCAATCAGAAAGGCCGAGTAGTTCCGATTGGCATGGCAGCTGGTCCCGACCAGTTCAAGCAGGGACAGCCTATACTAACGTTAATATAGAATGTCCATGGTACAAGTTTAAACAAAATAGAAATACGATAGTTTGGCATATTGTTAAACTGTTAAAGATGACAGTTGTTAAAATATGCACCGGGAATGATCCTAGCTGTTCTAGACCGTATAAAATTGATACTGTTCTAAACCCGGGTTCTAGACTGTATCTTAAACAGTTAAATAAGCGATCCTGTTCTAGACAAATACTTAGTTTAAAAAAGACCCTGTTCTCAACAGCAGGGCATGAAAAAGCGACCCTGTTCTAACCAGCAGGTCTTGAAAAAGGGACCCTATTCTTGTAACAGCCACTATGTTCCGTCAGTTACTTTGTTCCGGCGGAATTTTTCAACTAGTTATTTCGTTCCAGTCGAAAAGTTCCGGAAAAAAGTAGCTAGTTGAAAAGTCCCGGAGCAATGTAGCTAGTTGAATAGTTCAGGCGGAACAGAATAACTAGTTACATCGTTCCGAATATACCATATTTCGTCCTTTTTGTAGAAAGAGGGAGAAGAATGAGTATCAGTATATATAAGAGCAAATCATTAATTTACAAGTATACCCAACGCACTGAAAGGGATTTCTTTGGGGACAAATATGCAAAATTTAAGTTGTATTTCATAGCTCACATAAAACGGATTAAGTTGCATTATCATGCAAATTTAGTATTCATAGTACCCTCAAGAGAGGGAAGAATACCCCCCTCCTCATGTGGTTCTTTGCATCAATTCTCCAAATGGAACTTTGTGACTGGTTGATAAGTTCCATTGGAACTTTTGGGCTAGTTTGTTAGTTCCGGTTTTGACTTATTTGCCAAAGAGGAACTTTGTGGCTAGTTGATAAGTTCCATTTGACTTTTGTAATCAGTATCTTGGTTTCCCTTTGAAAGGTTCAAATATAATATGTTGCGCTTTTACTTTGCATCAATTCTCCAAATGGAACTTTCTGTCTGGTTGATAAGTTCCGTTGGAACTTTTGGGCTAGTTTGTTAGTTCCGGTTTTGACTAATTTGGCAAAAAGGAACTTTCTAACTAGTTGATATGTTCCGTTGGAACTTTTCAACTAGTCACTTTGTTCCGGTGGAACTTTTAAACCAGAGGAAGAACAAAGTAAAAAGTTAATAAGTTCCTCCGAAACTTTTCGGCTAGTTAGTTCTTTCCGCCCGGAACTTTCCAACGTCGGAACAAAAGAGCATTTACATTCTAACCAGCAGGGCATGAAAAAGCGACCCTGTTTTGCAGCACACTCGTACCACTAAAAATATAGGAAGTAACCCCCCCCCCCCCCCCCCCCCCGGGGGTAGAACTTTCTAGTAATGCTTTTGTTACAACGATTTCATCAATGCTTTGTAACCATTCCTGTGAAGCGAAATAAAAATATTCTGTATTACTTAAAAGTTTAGATTATATTTTTTTGAATTGTTGATTACAACTATCAATGGTTGTAAAGAGTTATGTCGCTTTACCCAATCAAAAATGCCAGTGATTGTTAAGAGTTATGTCGCCTGATCCAATCAAAAGTACCAGTGATTGTAAAGAGTTATATCGTTTGACCCAATCAAAAGTACCAATGATTGTTAAGAGTTATGTCGCTTGACCCAATCAAAAGTACCAGTGATTTTTAAGAGTCATTTCGCTTGACCCAACAAAAGTACCAGTGATTTTTAAGAGTTATGTCGCTTGATCCAATCAAAAGTACCAGTGATTGTTAACAATTATGTCGCTTGACCAAAGTGTATTGTGGTTGAACAACTCTGTTCATTTCATGATGACAAAAAAAAAAAAAATAAACGGAAAACAAATATGACAGACAGCAAATAACAACAACCGCTGAATTAAAGGATTCTAACGTAGAACTGGCACATATGTGACGGGGTTAAACCTGTTAAGGTCTACATGAGCGCTCAACCCTGCCTTAACCCGGGACGAAGGGTAACTGCACAACGTAAGAACAAAATCAGTTGGAAATTGCTTATCTCATCAGATTGAAACGTTTCATAAAAATAAACCTACTAACATATAAACAAAAAAAAACACAAAGTATCGATATAAGAGTACTCGCAGTTTCCGAAAGCTAGGTCAAAGCTAATAACAGCTAATAAATAAATAATGTTTTCCCAGACTAAAGTAGCAATCAGTACACATCCAACGAAGACGTCATATACAATCAGAGAAAAGAATGTTCTAGTGCAATGCTGAAATAAATATAAGTAAATAATGTCCTCATGATGTAGGACCATGTGTTTATTACTCAGTCTGTATATAGCAATACCCATTTAGTTATTATTATACATGTATCTTAAGCTCAACTGTACATTACAGGCTTATTATTGTGTATAATGCAAGAAAGGTCCTGTAGAACTCGACCTCCAACTACATGTTTTTCACAGTGTAAAAGTATAATTAATAAACGATTTTTATCTACGGCGAAGGCATTAAGTTTTACTCTTGTCCGTATGTTCCGAAATTGGTTTCCGTTCTCTAACTTAAGTTTGCCTCAACCAAATGTTATGACATTTATACACAATGCTTATTACCACAAAACACTGATCAAGTTTGAATTTGAGTGGCATCACTTTCACCTGTCAAGAGTTATGCCTCTTTACAAATGGTAAAAATGGCTAAATTTTTCGTTTCCGTTCTCTAACCTAAGTTTGCCTCAACCAAATGTAATGAATCTTATACACAATGCTTATTACGACAAAACACAGATCAAGTTTGAATTTTGGTGGCATCACTTTTACCGTTCTAGAGTTATCATGCTCCTTTACAAATGAAAAAATTGCTAAATTTTTCGTTTCTGTTCTCTAACTTAAGTTTGCCTCAACCAAATGTGATGAAACTTATACATAATGCTTGCTTCCACAAAACTCAGATCAAGTATGAACTTGGGTAGCTTCATTTTTATCGTTCTTGAGTTATGTCTCTTTATAAAGTTTTATTATATACTTAGTAGTAAATACATGTAAATTGTATGTGTAATATAATCAATGCCAATCATGCTGTATCAACCATCCGTGACGATATCGATATCAGTCACGGTTGCAAAGGCTTTAGCACACCCTTAATCTTTATGACTTCACGTCATCGACATCAGTCACCGTTGCAAAGCATGAAGGCTTTATCAAACCCCTAATCTGTATGACGTCACGTCACAAGAAAAAAAAATCTACTTGAGATATATAATAAAGTGTATATGATATAGCTTTTTAGCTCACCGGGGCCCGAAGGGCTCATGTGAGCTTATGTCATCACTTGGCGTCCGCTGTCGTCTGTCGTCGTCTGTCGTCGTCGTCTGTCGTCGTAAACTATTTCAAAAATCTTCTCCTCTGAAACTACTGGGCCAAATACCGTCAAAATTTAACTAAATGTTCCTTAGGGTATTTAGTTTATAAATTGTATCCGAAGTTTTGATCCATCGACAAACATGGCCGCCATGGCTAAAAATAGAACATAGGGGTCAAATGCAGTTTTTTGCTTATATCTCAAAAACTAAAGCTTTAAGAGACTATGTTAAATTGTTCACTTGGTCAAAATCTATCAGCCCTGAAATTTTCAGACGAATCGAACAACTCATTGTTTAGTTGCTGCCACTAAATTGGTAGTTTTAAGGAAATTTTGCAGTTTTTTGTTATTATTTTGAATATTATTATAGATAGATATAAACTGTAAACAGCAATAATGTTCAGCAAAGTAAGATCTACAAAAAAGTTTCATATGACCAAAGTGTCAATTGACCCTTTAAGGAGTTATTGCCCTTTAAAGACAATTTTACACAATTTGTTCATCAAGTTTGCTAACATTTAAAAATCTTCTCCTCTGAAACTACTGGGCCAAATACCTTCAAACTTCATCTAAATGTTCCTTAGGATATATAGTTTATGAATTGTATCCAAAGTTTTAATCCATCGACAAACATGGCCGCCATGGCTAAAAATAGAACATAGTGGTCAAATGCAGTTTTTGGCTTGTATCTCCAAAACTAAAGCATTGAGATCAAATCTGACAGAGGTAAAATTGTTCAATTGGTCAAGATCTATCAGCCCTGAAATTTTCAGACAAATCGAATAACCCATTGTTGGGTTGCTGCCACTAAATTGGTAGTTTTGAGGAAATTTTGCAGTTTTTGGTTATTATCTTGAATATTATTAAAGATAAAGATAAACTGTAAACAGCAAAAATGTTCAGCAAAGTAAGATCTACAAAAACGTTTATATGACCAAAATTGTCAATTGACCCCTTAAGGAGTTATTGCCCTTTAAGGACAATTTTACACAAGTTGTTTTATGTTTTTAACTCTAAAAATCTTCTCAAATGAATCTAGTATAAATTTTGTATTTCATTTCCTTGTACGTCAAGAAACATAGACACTATGGCTAAAATGGAACATATGGGTAAAAAGCAAAATTAATCATTGATGAAAGATTTAAGCAAAAAAAATAACAGGTGAGCGATTCAGGCTCTTGAGAGCCTCTTGTTTCAATATCACACACCGTATCAACCCTCAACCAATATAATCACTCGAGTAGAGCTCTTGGGATTATATTGGTGTTGAGGGTTGATACAGATGTGATATTGAAAATGCCATATAATATTCTCTATATATACAAGCGGGAGCATTATCTGTGTCCCATGGACACATTCCCCATTTATTTAAAAAAAAATTCCCAAGCAGTACAAGTTGCTTATTGTTTTAGGATACAGCTAGGTTTTAGGTTAATATTATGGACATTTCATGTACTTCATAATTTTAAAGATTGTTATTTTTTATTGCAGGTTTATTAATTGGCTAATCATAGCAGTCATGAGGGTGTTATCAAGAATATGTGATAAAGGTTTCTTGAAAAAAATGTTTATATTACAAATTCTGCTGGTTATCTTATTTGTAATGAACAGAATGTCACAAACAGTTGAATCTACCAATGGTGTAAAAAATTCTATGCAAAGGTCAAGTGTTAAACTTACACATGCCTTTTTGAAATCAATAGATTTAATTCGAAATGATTGTGGTGAACTTTGCAACACATCTAGAAAAGGTGAACCAGGTCCTTACTTTGACCATGTTACGGCAAATATTAATTGTGAAGCACTATTTAGAAACGAATACATAGACAGCGGTCATGGATTGGCACGTGCGCCAAATGAAATTCCAAAAGAACTTATGGATGATTACACAATGAATGGCAGAGTTGGTATAAAGAAATGGTATTTTGATGAACAGTATCTAGGCAAAAAAGCATTCACACCAGTGTGGACGGAGGAAATGATAGAGAAAAACATCAAAGAAGCAAAAGCGCAAAAACTATTCAGTCCGTACGGTCTTGCCGAAATAAATGCTTTGCGGGACGGGTTGAAGCATGCACCTGGAATTCAAAATGGACGAGTTCTTGTTATAGGTTCCGAACGGCCTTGGGCAGAAGCATGTGTGTTAGAAGCAGGGGCACGTGAAATCCTGACTTTGGAGTATGGAAAAATAATTTCTACGCATCCTAAAGTAAAAACAATCGTTCCGTTTGATTTCCGAATGCGGTATCTTAATAACACTTTGGGAGAGTTCGATGCAGTCGTTACATTTAGCTCAGTTGAACATTCTGGTCTGGGTAGATACGGTGACGCCCTCAATCCATGGGGAGACATTATTGCAATAGCAAGAGCTTGGTGCGTTACAAAACCTAAAGGATCCCTAACATTAGGTGTTGAATATAAATATGAAGGCGAATACATAGCATTTAATGCACATCGTTATTATGGTAAAATACGGTATCCATATTTAACAACAAACTGGAAACAATACTATAAAGGGATAGGAACACAACTGGTTCATGTTTTTGTTAAATGAATATTGTCAGATATGCATTCATGTACATCTTAGCTAATCGAACCCATTGCATAATAAGCAGTTATTATTTTGCATCCATGATTGTAATTTTTTTTCAAAGGATCTGCGCATGCTCTAATATAACTTAATGGATTCCAGTCAAACTGTGCCTTACTTATCCTTAATACAAACATCAATCTTAATAATATGAAGGCGAACATACATAGCATTTAATGCACGTCGTTATTATGGTAAAATACGGTATCCATATTTAATAACAAATTGGAAACAATACTATAAAGGGATAGGAATACATCTTGTTCATGTTTTTGTTAAATGAATATTGTCAGATATGCATTCATGTACATCTAAGCTCATCGAACCCATTGCATAATAAGCAGTCATCATTTTGCATCCATAATTGTAATTTTTTTCAAATGATCTGCTCATGCTCTAACATAACTTAATGGATTCCAGTCATACTGTGCCTTACTTATCCTTAATACAAACCTCAACCTTACTAACGCGGTCGCTATTACATCTAGAAAGTTAATTATAATTGTATATAATTGGTTAATGGTAATACAAAGACTGTAAGGATAAACAAAATTATCAAGGTCATGGGAGATAGACTAACAACAATAATAAAAAACTTTTCATTTGTATATATAAAGGGCTTATATAGAAGTTTACAACTATAGGTCACTGTACGACCTTCAACAATGAACAAAACCCATTCCTCATATCAAGCTATAGTTGAGAAACACGTACGTTAGTGGACGATTTCACGGATTTTTTTATTAAAAAATTGCAATCAGCTAGAGCATGTGGAACTCATATGAATATCGAATAAAAAAGTTGCTTTTCTTAGTAACTATTGAAGATATTCGAATTATACCGTGATTTGTACCATTTTTGGTTTTTTTTTTTTTAATTTTCTGTATATCTGAGACAATACGTACAAACAGTGGCTGTGTTAAATATGTTTGTGAGCGCTCAATCGTACCTGTCACATGGAGCAGTGCACGTGGTGTTGTAGTCCTGGCATTCTTCTATACCGTAACGTTTCTTTGTTTTAACGCCCTTCGTAGACTTCCCGTCTATCATAGTAGCCTGTCTGTCCATCATTTCTCATGCCGTATTAAAGCAAGACAATACTTTGATTAAATGTTATAAAACTTGTATGAAATATTTGAACTGGTAGAAAAAAGCTTTTACTTCGATTTTGAATTGTTTGGTCGTTTTTGCCACAGGATTTAATAGATATAAGAAGATGTGGTATGAGTGCCAATGAGACAACTCCCCATCCAAGTCACAATTTGTAAAAGTAAACCATTATAGGTAAAAGTACGGTCTTTAACACGGAGCCTTGGCTCACACCGAACAAAAAGCTATAAAGGGCTCCAAAAATGACTAGATATAAACCATTCAAACAGGAAAACCAACGGTCTAATCTATCTAAAAAAACGAGAAACACTTATGAACCACATCAACAAACGACAACCACTGAACATCAGGTTCCTGACTTAGGACATGTGCAAACAAATGCAGCGGGTTTAAACGTTTTAATAGGCACCAACCTTCACCCTACTTGAAACAATAGTTTAACATCACAACATAGAAAGACACACTATAAAATATCAATTGAAATGGCTTAACTCAATCAAAAGACATATTAACAAAAACAAGTGAACATACACTGAACGAATAAATTTGATTTATGACACAATGTAAATACAAAATTAATAAAACAAGGGGGTTAGATGTAAAACAATATTAAGAAGACAAACATAACCTTTGACAAAATGCCGCCACATAAAATAAAGTACACAGGTAAATACAAATAATTTTGTTGTAAGGTATACATGGAGTACGGAAATAATTTTTACAAAATAAATAATTTTGTTGTTCCTATTACGAGAACAAAAGTGAAAATTTATCGTCATACTACAATGTAAACAATTATCAAAAATAGTGAGACTAGATATAAAACATCACATACAAACTCAATTACACTGGATCATTCATTTGAGTTGGGACTGATGAAGTTGAGTTACTTTGCAATTTTTTAAAATCTCCTGGTTGTCGTTTGAGACCGTTATGATCAGAGTTCGGGCAATTTCTGACGTCTTAATTTACTAGAGTATGCTACGACCAATTACCCTAAAACTTGACACAATCGCTATGATAAGTAAAAAAAGGCTACCTTACGATTTTAACATTTTTTTTCTGAATTGTCATTACAAGGTTATGGGACTTATATCGTCAGATTTAAGGACCGTCATTACAAGGTTATGGGACTTATACCGTCAGATTTAAAGACCGTCATTACAAGGTTATGGGACTTATACCGTCAGATTTAAGGACCGTCATTACAAGTTTATGGGACTTATACCGTCAGATGTATGACCGTCATTACAAGGTTATGGGACTTATACCGTCAGATTTAAGGACGTCATTACAAAGTTATAGGACTTATACCGTCAGATTTAAGGGCCGTCATTGCAAAGTTATGGAACCTACACCGTCAGATTTAAGAACCGTCACCACAAGGTTATGGGACTTATACCGGCAGATTTAAGGGCCGTCATTACAAGGATATGGGACTTATACCGTCAGATTCAAGGACCGTCATTACAAGGTTAATGGACTTGTACCGTCAGATTTAAGGGCCGTCATTACAAGGTTATGGGACTTGTACCGTCAGATTTAAGGACTGTCATTACAAGGTTATGGGACTTGTACCGTCAGATTTAAGGACTGTCATTACAAGGTTATGGGACTTATACCGTCAGATTTTAGGACCTTTTTTACATGTCGGGCTCTTACTTGAGTATTCTTTGATCTGGTTACTTTAAATTATATAATATCGTCTAGATTTGTGAAAGTAAACTCCCTTAGAAACATTTTTATTTTCGTATTTCTTATTTCAGTATTTTAAGTAATTTTGATATACCTTACAATATCCTATTTCAAATTTTCACATATTTCTGATTTAGCGACTTCTACCGTCTTGCCGTTATGGAATATCTGTTTCACAGATGACGACGGATATTTTCCAATTGTCGTAACCACAATTCCGTCCTCTTTTTCTCGAATGTAACCTACCGAATTAGAAGTATCATCAGCTTTGTAATTACATGAGCAACATGATGGGTGCAACATGTGGAGCAGGATCTGCTTACCCTCCCTAAGCACCTGCGATCACCCCCGGTTGTTGTTGGGGTTCGTGTTATTCAGACTTAACTCTTTTTTTGTGTTTTGTGTACTATTTGTCTTTTCGTCCTCTTTTGTTGTTTTTTTTTTTGGCATGGCTTTGTCAGTTTGTTTTTTGCCATGGCTTTGTCAGTTTGTTTTTTGCCATGGCTTTGTCAGTTATTTTTTTGCCATGGCTTTTACAGTTTGTTTTTTGCCATGGCTTTGTCAGTTTGTTCTTGACTTATGAGTTTGAATATACCTTTTGTATATTTCGCCTCTCTCTTCTATACTATTCTATTCTATTTTTTAAAATAATTTCAAAATATACATTTGGCGGATTATCTTGCTTTTCTAAGCGCAGCTTTTAATTCTTTATCGTTTCTGTATGTTTTTATTAAAAAAAATATTACTATTATGCATTGATGGCAAATGGTTGATAGCTTCTTTTTTTTTATCTCACTTTTTTTGTATTTTGTCACATTATATAGACACGTTTTTATGTTATCTTGAAGACTAAATATGAAAGAACTTTCCACCAGAGACCAAATGACATAGAAGTCTCAGCAACTATAGGTCATCGTACGACTTTCACTAGTGAGCAAAAACCCAATCGCATATAAAAAAGATATAAAAGGTAAGGACATGGCAAATGTCAAACCAAAAGAGAAAACTAGACGGCCTGATTTATCTACATAACAATAAACGAAAAAACATATGATGTTTTACAGCAACAATCGACAATCATTGAATTACAAGCTCCTGACTCAGGACATGCACATGCATGATTTGGTAGGGATAAACATATTTGCGGGCGCTGAACCCTCGTCTTACAGTGGTGAAACAACTACATAAGAAGAAAGTAAAAAGGTCAGTTGAAAAGGCCTTTAATCGTCAGATCGACCCAAAGCACTCACAAAAAAACCCACAAAAATTAACCCTTTAACCCTTTCGCTGCCACGGCAAAATTCAAAATTCTGCGTTCAGTGTGACGGCTTGTTTTGGAAGTCGTTGCGAAGGTAAAGGAGGCTTTGTGACGTCAACAATCGAAGAAAGTTCTATTGAGAAATGAATGATGTTTTCCAGTTGGAAAGCAGGTCACGGTTTGACCCCAAGTCTATCAGCAACAATAGAGTCACGTGACCGTGAAAATTCAGTAAAACTACGGATGAGACAAACCTCACTTTTACTCACTAAAATACCACTGTCACGGTAAAAACTTATTCATCAAAATAATCTTGAATATACATAGTTTTAACTCGTCAAAACTTACACATCAACTCAAAGTCCTTTATTCTTTATTTTATCTTGAAGTTTGTGTGAAAATTGTCAAGGCTCCTGATCGAAAAATCTAAATATTTTCGAGGAAACTAAAAATGATGGGCTGAATTTAAATTTAATAAAGCATCTCATTTAGACAAACACTCGATATGAATATCTAGGCAATACAGTTTTGGATACGCAAACGTCAAGTTATGTTCAACACGAAGCGGTGCCAGGGTTTTTTGCCGATTTGTGCAAGTGGTTATCTCCCCTTGATATCACCAGTCAAAAATTAAAACCCACCAAAATGAATAAAAAGGAGTTTATTTTACAAAAATCAAGAAGAAAATAAAAGAAAGTCGATTAACAACTATGTTAGTATTATAATATTAAGAAGAGATACTTCCCAACTTTTCAGAGAAGGATTACAGGTAAAAATTAAAAGACAAAAAATTGGTAAAAATAAGATCTAGAAACCTAGCTGAATTGATATGAATTAGCTCTGGCTGATGAAATTTACTTTCAGTTTTTAATTTTTATAATGGGATATGGGATCACTCCTAATGGATTTTCTTTTAACTACTTCTAACAATGTTTAATGCAATAAAACATACTGTATACTATTTAAATAATCTTTCTGAAAAAAAAAATAGTACTGACCATTTATATTTTATATTTTAACCAAGAGTCACAATTCAATTTCTTCAAAGTAAAAAAGCCTTTTAACTCAAGCCTATGTTTCTTAGTTGAACAGTACAGTACTGCCTAGAAAATATCATACAGAAAAAGGAAAAGTTTACCAAAAAAATGACAAAAATTCTGTAAAAAAATAATGCTTAAAATTATAAGTGAAAGTGACATAATTTTGAATTTTAAAATCATTATTATTGTAAAATTCAACTATTAGATTAGCTAACACAGTAGCCCTTGTCCAATTTCTCAGGGTATTTTATA